AGAATGTGGTGGCACGTGCCTTTAATCACAGCAATCCTGTTGTATAGGCAGGTGGAGATCTCTATGAATTTAGGGCAAAAGGAAACAGAGCTAGTTGCAGGAGAAGATCCAGAGCTACGGAGCAATCCTGTCTGATAAAAACAAAACAAAACAAAACAAAACAAAAACCCAACCAAACACAAAAATATAATTCAGAAACAGTTTGTTTGTTTGCTCGGTTATTTATTTATTTATTTATTTATTTATTTTTTTTTTTAACATATAGTGGCACGTGTACTTTGAACCTTTTGTTCATTTCAGAGATAAATGTTTATGGTGCATAATTTCTTTATGGATGCCTGTATTGTGTTTGCAAATACTGTACTGATGGACGTGGATCCATGTCCATCAGGGATATTCAATTATTTGTTCTTCTCTCTTGACCTGGTATGCGATTACAGTCATGCTGGCTCTGTAGAAGGAATTTAATGGTGCTTCATCTGATTTCTTATTTTGCTTTGACAGTGGGACTGCTTCAGAACATGCACACTGCCACTCCCAGTACAGGTGGTCACCTCAGGGCTACAGCGCACACACAAACCAATCAAGACCTGGTTACATCCTTGGCGTGTCTCTATAGAGCTCTGGACAGCTGTATCAGCAGCACACTTGATGCCTCTTCACACTGCTTCACACCAGCCTCTGCCACACAAGCCAGTACAAGGTATTCCCCAGCTACTCAGCCCCTACCAAACCTGCCCCCCTCCCACATACACACCACACACAGCCTTTCCCACACAGAGACAGACTCAGGCTGCCACCCCTTCACAGGGAGTCTCCAGCCCTGTTGGGTCCCTTGTACCTGGTATGGAGGGCCCCCTATCTGCAGAGCACAGAGAAAGGTTTTGTCAAGGTCTGGACAGCGGCTCCCCATCTTACCTTAGCAATGCTTTCAAGTTGCCTTTTATAGAGTAGATGTCATTCATATAGAGATTCTGGACACAATTGAGATGGAGATGGGGGAACTGAGGAATGGTCTTGGTGACACACTTTTTCATGTCTGGTGGAGCAAAGTCACCACTGAAGACCTTCTTGAAGATTCCCAGCATAGGGAGAGTACAAGGATTTCCCAGCTATTCCAGGTAATGTGCAAACCAGTCTGGGCTTCCCTGTTGCCATCAGGAATTCAGTTCCAATTCCTGGACACAGTCTCTGCCTAAAATTTTCAGAGACTGTGCCTACCTGGAACTTGTTGTGTAGCCTGAGCAGACTTGGAATTCTCAGTAATCATCCTACCCCAATATCTGGCTGTGAAATCAAAGTAAAGAGAAGCCATTCTGACAATGCCTTCCTTCTTCCTTCCTGCTAGCCTTCTCTTACATTTGTTCATGTGGCTGCTGGTTGCCTGAAGTTGTCAACCTCAGCTGAGTAATGCAGACTTGCTACCTTAGGAAGGTTTCCAGAGTGCCAGATGACTGCAATTCAGAATCTCACAGCAGGAGCACTGTGGGCCCATCAGAGATGGCAGAAGCAAAATAATGACAAAACAGCCTTGAACTCCAGACCTTCTTTCCTCCACTTCCTGGGTGATGAGACTCCATTCCACTGTGTCTGTGTGTCCTGGTTTTCAGAACTCCCTAATTCTGACTGGCAACCTTCATGCACATAACAGCCTCCAAGAGAGGGACAAAAGTCCTTGTCCTGTTCTAAAAAAAATTGATATCCCTTAAGAACAATAATATAGCCAGAAGGTGGTAGTGCATCCCTTTAATCCCAGCACTCAGGAGGCAGAGGCAGGAGTTCCCTGTGAGCTTGAGTTCAGCCTGGTATATAAGAGCTAGTTACAGGACAGGCTACAAAAATAAATAAATAAATAAATAAATAAATAAATAAATAAATAAATAAATAAGAAAACTCCCTCCCATGAAAAACGTTTTCTAATATGAACTGTCCTTAGTGTGCTAATGAGTCCCTAAACCTAGTCCTTGTACCTTACTTCCCTGGATAAGCAGATAACAACGGGGAATTTTTGAAACATTTCACCTCTTATTGCTGTGTTATGAACCATTTTGTTGGCAGAGCTTGACAACAATTCTAAAGTGACCTGGCTGCAATCTTGGTACCCTAAGTTTATTCCTCGGGACCCACAGAGTAGAAGGGGAGGGCTGACTCCCAAACTTTTCCTCTGACCTCCTCAGGTAGGCCAAGATGGAATGTTGTGGTGTACATATACACACAAAATAGATAGGTGCAGGGGCTGGAGAAATGTCCCATCAGTTCAGAGGATGCACTGCTCTTGAGGAGAACCTGAGTTTCATTCCCAGCATCAGTGTTAGACATCTATAACACTCCTGTAACATCAGTTCCAAGGGAATCCAAGGCCTCTAGCTAGCTACCTTAGGCTGCTGCACTTTCAATCACATATAAGTTCTTTAAGAAGCAACAGGAAGCTAACATCCTGCTGAAGTGATACTGTGGCTGTGTACTGACATCCAAAAACATCTGACTAAATTGGAGGCTGGAGAAATGGTCAGCAGTTAGGCACACTTGCTGCTCTTGTCAGGGACACAGGATCGGTTGCCACCGCTCACATGTTGGCTCACAACCATCTAGGGGAGTTGCTGGATTCCAGACCAAGTTCATAACAGTAAACAGGCCAAAGACCCTTTGACAACAGCATTCTAAACTTTATATTTCAGGCTTGTTTAGAGTCCTGGAGAACTGAGCACAGTCCATTCACCATCACATGCCAGGCTCATCCCTCAGGCCCCTTCTGCTAACCTTTCTCCTGAGAATGGATTCATCAACCTGTAATGGAACTAGATAGGGTATCTTTGTTTGGGGTGGTTTTGTGAGGCTTTGCCTACCCAGGGAGAATTATGGCTTTGAAAGCAACAGATGGTGATGGAATTGAAACATGTAAACCATGGTATTCACCAACACTAGAGTAGTGAATTGACCCTGAGAGATCCCTGTGTTGGGAGAAGGGCTTGCTAAGTTTCTTGTCCTCAATGGGACTTTGCTTCCATGCTTCCTCGCCTTCCTGGACTGATTGATGTGCACTATGAGAAGAAATCGTTGGGACTTAGAGGATTTCTCCCAAGATGGATCAGAGGCCTCTGGTACCAGATTAGAGGAATGTTGTGCTGCGATTAAAGATGTGTGCCACCACTGCCTGCCTGGTTATTCATATCATTCAAGAGTTGATCCATTTAGTCATGGTGTTTAATGTATTAGCAGAGGATAACCTTTCACAATAATCCTGGGGCAGGAATGAGGGTGTATTTCTTTGGAAATATGCTGTACAATATGCCTGAGGCCCTACACTGCCTCCTTAGGCTTTCTCCCCCAAAATACAGTAATAATAATAAAATTATTATTTATTTATCATTTTTTATGCATACAAAGTTCTGTGTGCATGCATCCCAGATTGTCAGAAGAAGGCACCCAATATTATCACAGATGGTTGTTAGACAAGTGATTACTGGGTATTGTACTCAGGGCTTTGGAAGAGCAGCTAGTACTCTTAACCACTGAGCCATCTCTATAGGCCCCTCTTAATCTAGGGTCTGAGATTCACAGAATGAGAAGACAGCGACACCAAGGCCTTGGTTATGAGGTGGGTAAACACACAGTGCTTCTTTGTACTTTTTTTTTTTTTTTTTTTTTTTTTTTTTTTTTGGTAACAGGATTCTTGGTATTTCTTTAGAGACTGTCCCGGAACTACCTCTGTAGACCAGGCTATCCTCCCACTCAAAGAGATCTGCCTGCCTCTGCCTCCTGAGTATTGGGATTACAGGTGTGTGCCACCAAAGCTTGACCCATTTACTACCTAAAATAAGATATTCAACACACGCAGGGATACACAGAGAACATCTGGCTATATAAAAGTCACAGTAATATATGAATAATAACATTGATATAAGAAAACAGAATCTAGAAAAATGCATTCTAATGTTAAAGGTAACTCCCTCCTCAGGCAGTCAGACTCAGAAGATCTTGTGTAATTTTAAATTTTTAATTTTTTTGACACAGGATTTTTCCATGTAGTCCTGGCTATCCCAGAACTCAAGGTCATAGAAATCAATGTGTAACTGCCTCCCTACTGCTGGCACATGGCACCCCAGGGATGGTTCTGTCCAAAGTGGGATAATCAAGTGTCCTTCAGCGTTAATAGAGTATGTGAAGTTAGCAGGCATCACAATGACATGTGAGAAAGGAGGACTGGGTTTATTGATAAAGACCAATGAAAATACAGAGTCCTAAAAATTATCTTATTGCTAACTGATACAATGAAATAGCTGGCTTGGCTACTCTCTCGGCAAATGAAGACAGAGCTCACAACCAAAGAGTTAACAACCAGGTCTCAGGTCAATCAGGTCTCTAGAAAGGGCTGTGGCTTCAGTCATCTTAAAGGTGGGCCCAGCTCCTCCTGTGTGACTACCCTGGGATGCAATCACCTGTGTTTCTCCAAAACTATCTTCAAAGGAGATCAGGTGTACACTGCTGTGTTCAGTTTCACACTTCTGTACAAACAATCCAGCGAGCAGTCATCCCATGGGAAGTTTTCTGGGGAAGCCAATGACATAAATGACTTCAGTTCATTCTGATGTTGGCAAGCCTTGGCCCATAATGTCCTTGATGGTACTTCCTGTGGTTGGTCACAGAACCTTGACTGTGACCTAAAGCTGAGATTAATGCCTGAGGACTCAATGGAAGAACATCCAGGTACCTAGTCTGACCATATGTTTACAGCTGTCCCATACCGGCAAGACGGTGGTGATCCTGTTCTGACAGAGGCACAGTCAGAAATGTGAAATTGCCTTTCTGATTCCACCAGTCAGCTATCACCATGATCTCGTTACACATCAAATCAAGTCGGTCCCTGCAGTGTGGATCCCCTGACCACTCTTGTTTCCAGTATATCACACGGTATCTGAAACAGAGTGTTCTGGAACCCCACGATCAGATCCAACACCTAGACTTTCATTTCTCTGTATGCAGAAGCAATCTTTTCCTATCTACTGCCCACAGTCACAAAGTCTGGTCTCCATGTCATAAACAGAGCGCTTACAGCATTGAAGGCAGGTGCCTGTAGCAAAGACTATTTTCTTGGGCTGCCTTTTGGCAAAGAGTATATCCAGGAGCTCAAGACAGAGTTGGGTAAATTGCTCCACTAGGACACGACCCAGGGGGTCATAGCACTCCAGAGAGGCTGGGTAGAACTCTGCAGTCAAGTTGCTTAAACCGGCCATGCTTTGCACAAGCTTCTTCAGTACAGCAGTGGAGAGGTCGTTGTCATAGAAATTCACGGTGGTCAGCTGTGAGCACCGGCTCAGGGCAGGCAAGAGGGCACTGAGGTCAGAGTCCTCCATCACGCAGTTCACTAACTCCAGGTTCTGCAAAGTGTCTGCCACATTCTCAAGGACAACTCGGAGATGTGGGACACAGAACCTGGACAACACTACACCACTGAGTTTCAGGTGTTTCAATTGACAGAGCGCCTGACACTGTGACAAGTGTTTGAAGCCTGACTGGGGGAGCTGGCAGAGAGTGATAGACAAGAACTTCAGTGGGGTCTTCAGGCATCTAGGGAAAGAAAAGGAAATTAGTGCAAAGTGCTAGAAGGCACTAAAAAGGCTGACACTGAGACACAGGGGCCCACATATGCTAAGTCAGTCTAGCCTTATACTGAAGGTCAGCCCTTGGGAAACAATCTGTTTGTCCCAGTTCATACAGTTGCCTCCCGGGGCATATACATAAGGTTGGATGGTCTCAGACCACACATTCCCAGCCAGCTCCTTGACCAACCTTGACCATCACAGAAAGGTTCTGGCAGCATGTTGTCACGTGTCCTGCACAGCTCATTGATGTCCTCTTATCAGTCACTGCCTCCATCCCTCATTTCAGTGTCCCACCCTTGAAACTGATGGTCCCTCTTCCCAGCATCAACCATTTTCCATCTACTAATTCCAAAGCTGTGCTCATATAGTCCTCCTCTGCAGAGAGACTTAGAGGCTGAGAGAGGGCTCCAGCAGGAGGATAAGGTGGCCCCTGCTGGGAGATATCTGAGTACAGAGCTCCTTAGGACCCTGTGCAGCTGTGGGCACGTCCCAGTTCGAGGCCTCCTACTCTGTCCTGTTTCCTTCCCATTGGCATAGCCAGGATCTCAAGCAGGACTATCCAGAGCACACTACCATGTCTGACCCACCCAAAGGAGCTGCTTTCAAGCCAGCTCTCTAACCATCTCCTGCCCCAGCACAGACTCTGCTAAATGAATGGTCATTGAACTACGTGACCTCATTTAAGAAGGACACAAGTCCACACTTAGCTACTGTGATGATTCCATCACAGTTAAATCCACAGTGGCTGGAACACCTCAGGGCCCGGCCCACTAATGCTTGAAGTAAAGGGGAATGTTTTGCTGTCACAGTAGAAGCAGCTCTCCATCATTCCTTACCCGAATAGCTGTTGCATGTGGTCAGGCGAAAGGTGGATGCCATGCATGGAGAAATGCTCCAGAGAGTTGAGTTTGGAGAACTGAGAGAAAACTTGCAGAGTACACGTCTCCTCTGTGTCTGCCAACATATTTAGGACCCTGTCTGTGTTCAAGAAGATGTGAGTTAGACGGAATTTGCAAAGTTTTGTCATATAGCCAAGGCTAGGTGCAATGTGAGCCAGGAAGGTCAGAATGTGGTTGGTGAATAACTCCAGTTCCTCTATATCCTCAGGTGGGAAAATTTCCAAGATCTCCTTGATAATCTCCACAGGGAAGGCACAGATCTTCATCTTCATGCAGCACAGCTGCACAGAGTCTTTCCTCTGCTGGGCCCACTGCAGCAAGCACGTCTGGTGCTCTGTCAGGTGGAACCTGAGGCTAAGGTCAGTGACCACCTTCAAATCCCGCCTCAGTTTATTTCCTCCTTGCTCCTCACTTTCAGTCTCTGTTGAGCAGAACCAGTCCTCTCTGCTGGCCCATACATCCCAGAAATCCTGGTTCACATTCCTCAAGTCAAGTACTCGAAGCTTCCACTCTCTGTGAGGAGAAAGTTGGAATTTTAGAAAATAAACCTGGAACTGCCTCAGAGACAGCCTCTGTCCAACCTCTCTACCTTTACTTCCAGCACAGCCCCTCTCACCTGGCAGGCGAGAACTCTGCCTGAACTTCATCTGGAGACCTTTCCTTCAATTACTCTAGACTGGTATCTGTAGGAGAGCCAGGGAAAGCTCATCCCACTATGGCTTCCTTTTCTCTGAGCTCTCTTCCACTCCTGACTGTCATCATATGAACCCTCAACATGAATAGAAGTTCTATAGACCTCCAAGGGGGTGACACCAGAAGCCTCTGTCCACTTTGACCACATTCTCCATGACCTCACATGCATCTCATCTATATAGCCCAGCCACTCCCCTTCTAGTCTTCTTGGGCCTTGCTTACCTGGGTCGATCCTTCTGTGCCTGAAGAATATCTACACCATCCAGAACAGCTTGCAACACATCCGCATTGGCTGTCTTCATCAGAGCCCCCACGGGGAGGTAGGAAAAGGGCCAGGCTGCCACCATTGCCTTCAGTAGCTCCATGCATCTACCGGTGATGGCCTTCTTGAACACTGGTGGGAAGAGGTTAATGGGCAGGTACTCCAGAGTAGAGATGGTTGAGGTCTGGTTGCACAGCAGGTTCTCTACTGCCAGCTGCTGGAGTGTGGGTGGGTTGTAGATGCTCATCCTGGTAGATCTTTGGTCAGAAGGACAGAAGGATCCTGGTGAAGCATTTAGGAGACATGATTTTCAGCTAATGTTTTGTGAATTCTCACTTTTCACACAAGGCAGGAATCAGAGGGTCAGACTTATTGTTCTGGCAATAAGGGAGATCTCAGTGTGCTTTAGTGTATATCATCGGCTGGTATCAAAGCCCAACTTCCATTACTCTCTGCATAGGAGTCTCTTACAGCCCCCACTCAGCACACATTCATCACTATCCCACCAGATACCTACCCCTGCTCTTCTATTTTGAAGTATGCACAAGCATTCAGACAGACTAGACTCTTTTTTTCTTATTTTAAATATGCATCCTAGTTCCCTGTTGCTTCTTCCTTACCCTCCACCCTCCCATGCTCCCCCAACACCCACAAGCACCACCACACTCCCATCTCGTCCCTCCCAACTCCATAGAGAGGGTGATGTCTCCCTGGAGGGGTCATTTAAATCTGTCAGGTCTTTTGGAGTAGGGACTAGGCCCTCCCTCCTGCCACTAGGTTAAGGGAGTATCTCTCCATGGGGAATGTATTCCCAAAGTCCCTTTGTGCACCAGGGATACATCCTGGTTTCACTGTCCCAGGTCCCTTAGAATGCCCTGGCTTTCTAACTGAGACCCATGTTCAGGGGTTCTGAGTTGGTCCAGTGCTGGTTTCCTGGCTATCAGTCTGGGGGGGCCCATTAGCTCCTCCTTCTTCACCTGATCAGACTCTTGTTACATGAAAAGATACTGACCTTCTTTCCAGGTGCAAAAGAAAATAAGTTGGTGATGTCACACACCCACCCCACCCTTGCTATGCTTTCACCAATCTTATCCCTCCTGGGAAGGAGTGAGGAGAATCTTTTGGAGGTGCTGGGTTTATTATACTCATTCTGCCAATGTGGTAGAAGGTCTTTAAATCCATGTCCATCTGACCATCTAATCAAACAATGTCTGAAATGCAAGACCAGGTCTTGCATTTCCAACAAAACTAGCCAGCCATGGTATCGAATGAGAGCTCCCGTAAAATGGAGATCTGAGGCCTGGCTGTGGTTGCTCACACCTTTAATCCCAGCACTTGGGAGGCAGAGGCAGAAGGATCTCTGTGAACTTGAGATCAACCTGGTCTACAGAATGAGTTCCAGGATGGTCTCAAAAGCTACAGAGAAATCCTGTCTCAAAGAAAAAAAAATTAGGATCTTAGATGAGAAGCCAAGTGTACAGATGTTACAAGGACAAAGACCACGATTTTCTTGTAGTTTTGTGTGGTCTAGAGCACAATAGACCACAATAGATTTTAAATTTTCTTGGCACTTTACAAGGGGAATATATTACTAGAGGATACATGCTAACTCCATTCCATAATGAGCCTAGAATTCCGGACAAAGCCTTGCTAATTTTTACCTGCCTCTAAAAGCTCAAAAGAGCCAAATAAACTAACATGTAAATGACTATGTAATAATCATTTCCCAATAAAGCCAAACAACACCACATGTAAAAACTATTAAGTTGTGTCCTATGAATTTTAAAGCCATTATATGTAAATGTAGTTTAGTTGGTGAAAGGCTAGACCAGCGTTCAGTCAGTAGGTCTCCTGGAGGAGCAGAGTGACTTACCTGATATCAACAGGGGGTCCAGAATCCTATTGCCAGCAGGGCCAAGCAGAGACTTCAGGCTCCAGGACTCCTCAGCATAGGTAGGAAGTGACCACAAGCTACAGGACTCTGAGTGGTTCTACCTGGCCTCCTCTCCTCATTTTATACACCTTGCCTGTAGCCCCACCCTCTACAAAAAAAAAAGAAAGAAAGAAAGAAAGAAAGAAAAAACCAACTCCTACCTGATTGGTCCACCCACTTACTCCTGCAGATGACGGATTTTTTTTTTTTTTCTACAGCAGATTGATTAAATCTGACCTATCCGGTAACAACAAAAACACTAAAATCAAAAGTCAGTATTCTATCTGTGGATAGACTGACTTATATATGCATCTACAAGCACATGTTTGTATGTATGTACTTTAGTATGTAAAGTTCTAGTCTATGTGTGTGTATTATTGTGGGTGGGTATTTGAGTATGCAGAGAGATTTTGGTTAACCAATGGCTGCAACATTAGCTTTTGTCTCCAAACAACAGAAACAAAAAACAACCACATGAATGTGTTCCAGATGAGAAAGAGCTGAGGTAGGTGTCAGGAACCTGGAGTCCTCCATAGCAAGAAGCTTACTTGGCTTCATGACTTGATCCAGGACTTCAGAATCATCAAGAGTAAGATGGACACTTTATCTCAAAGTGAAAACCAATAGCAAAGCAAGATGAGATGCAAATCAAACAAAAACAGTAAACTGTGTTAATACACCTGTGTCATTCTGCACTCCAGAAGCTGTGGTGGCAGGATTTCTGTGGTTTCAGGCAAACCTGATCCACACAGTGAGAAACTGTAAACAACAACATCCAATTCCAAACAGAAAACAGTGGTGCTTTCCTTGAAGAATACACAGGAAACCTCAGTGCCTCACATGGTCTCTTAGAAACAATCCCTTGCTCAGCAACCCCAAGAAGGCTCCATGACTAAGACACTTGCTCCTAGCCCGAAGATCTGAGTTGATGTCTGGAATCCTGGGAATCAGACTGCAGAAGGTTTCCTCTGACCTCCCCATGTGCCCCATGACCAATGACCACACACCATTAGTTAATTGCAGTAATTGTTTTTGCTGTGCTGATGTATTTATTATTTATGATTTCATCAAGATGGCCTGAAGAATCACAATTAAGAGCCAGCCATTCTAGTTAGCTGTAGAAGCTGAACAGAGTTGTTGCATACCGTTATTCCTGGACTCTGGAGATTAAGGCAGATGGATGTCTGTTAATCCAAGGCTACCCAGAGCTACACAGGTTTGAATCAGTCTAAAAGTGACATCTGCTGGGCACATGTGCATGACTGTCACTCTGCAGTCAGGGAGAGAGGGTTGTAGTACCAGAGTTTGATGTCACTCCTGCCTATAAATAGGTTTCACCCCAGTGTAAAAAGCACCAGGGCCCTCAAGCTAAGAAAGGAAGGATTTTCCTCCTTGAGGAAAATCAGGAAAAATGATTCAATTACAAATTAAATGGTCCTGAGAAAGTTGGTGCACACCTTTAATCCAAGCCTTTAATCTCAGTAATTGAGAGGCAGAGGCAGGCAAATCTCTGAGTTCAAGGCCAGCCTGTATTACTCAGTGAGTTCCAGCGGTCTCAAAAAGCTACATATTAAGAACCTGTAAAACAAACAAAGGAAAAAAAAAAACCAAACAACCAAAAAACCCTGTAAATAAGAGGAAACAGAGAGACAGGAAGAAGGAAGGAAAGATGTATGAAGGAAAAAAAGAAAAGGAAGGAATGAAGGCAAAAAAGGAAAATAACCCAAATAAAATTCTTAAATTCTTGGTCTTGGATTTCCCTCTTCCAATAAGTGTACCCTGGAAAGCAGTCTCACATCACCATATTAGCAGGAATCATTACATGCTGAGTCATCTTGTTGGACAGTACTATTTTTTATTATATTTTTTGAGAGAGGGGTTTTTTTTTTTTCTTGTATTGCTTTGGAGGCTGTCCTGGAAGTAGCTCTCTAGACTAGGCTGGCCTCAAACTCACAGACATCTAACTGCTTCTGTTTCCTGAGTGCTGGGCTTAAAGCATATGCCACCAAAGGATGGCCTATCCATTTGTTTTAAGAACCACTGTTCAGAATTTTACAGAAAAGGTACTGATACCATTTACATCCCATATTCTCCCTCCTCCAATGACTCTCTTGGCCCTCATTAATTCTCCGTTTCCAGACTTCTTCTGCAGTAATTACACAACACACACACACACACACACACACATACACACCTATAAATACATCCTGCCACCTTCCTTTAGTGTTGCTCATGTACCCAAGTTTAGGGAAGATCACTGGGTGGGTAAGCAATCAGTCAGCTCATTCCAGGTGCCTGATTCTCCCTTTTGGTAACTCTTTAATCCCTGTATTTCTTTATTCTTGGCTGAGGCCTTGTGAGATTTTTCCCATCCAAGTTAGGTGTTCTGCTGCCCTTGTCACTGCGCAGGTCTTGTTTCAGTGACCAAGGTGTTAGTGTTGGGTTCTGTTCTCTGTCATTTATAGAAGACACTACCTCACATTGTCATCATGGTCCTCTGGCTCTAGGAGTCTCTCTGCTCTCTCTTCCTGCATGTTCCCTGAGCCTTAGGTGTAGGTCAGTTATCTAGATGTATTAATTGGGCATGGGCACCCATTGCTATTTCTTCTTTCCTTTTTCATCATTATGGATTTCTGTTATGGACACCCTCTACTTCAAACAAACAAACAAAAATGTTTTTTTGGTATGGACAGGTTTAGAGCTCCACTTATCTATGGATACACGCTTAGGTTCTTAGAGAACCTGTGGACTTATCCTGGAAAGGAAATGGGGCAGTATTGGGTTCTCCTCTAGTATTGGGTCCATAACCTCACCAGCCTCCCTGTTGCCACCAGGAATTCAGTTCCAATTCCTGGACACAGTCTCTGCCTAAAATTTTCAGAGACTGTGCCTACGTGGAACTTGTTGTGTAGCCTGAGCAGACTTGGAATTCTCAGTAATCATCCTACCCCAATATCTGACTATGAAATCAAAGTAAAGAGAAGCCATTCTGACAACGCCTTCCTTCTTCCTTCCTGCTAGCCTTCTCTTACATTTGTTCATGTGGCTGCTGGTTGCCTGAAGTTGTCAACCTCAGCTGAGTAATGCAGACTTGCTACCTTAGGAAGGTTTCCAGAGTGCCAGATGACTGCAATTCAGAATCTCACAGCAGGAGTACTGTGGGCCCATCAGAGATGGCAGAAGCAAAATAATGACAAAACAGCCTTGAACTCCAGACCTTCTTTCCTCCACTTCCTGGGTGATGAGACTCCATTCCACTGTGTCTGTGTGTCCTGGTTTTCAGAACTCCCTAATTCTGACTGGCAACCTTCATG